AGAGGACGCACAGATCAGAGACTGTAACCCAGCATGTATCATCTAGAGGACGCACAGATTAGAGACTGTAACCCAGCATGTATCATCTAGAGGACGCACAGATTAGAGACTGTAACCTAGCGTGTATCACCTAGAGGACGCACAGATCAGAGACTGTAACCCAGCATGTATCACCTAGAGGACACACAGATTAGAGACTGTAACCTAGCATGTATCACCTAGAGGACGCGCAGATTAGAGACTATAACCCAGCATGTATCACCTAGAGGACGCACAGATTAGAGACTGTAACCTAAAATGTATCATCTACAGGACGCACAGATCAGAGACTGTAACCCAGCATGTATCACCTAGAGGACGCGCAGATTAGAGACTGTAACTCAGCATGTATCATCTAGAGGACACACAGATTAAAGACTGTAACCTAGCATGTATCACCTAGAGGACGCAAAGATTAAAGACTGTAACCTAGCATGTATCACCTAGAGGACACACAGATTAAAGACTGTAACCTAGCATGTATCACCTAGAGGACGCACAGATTAGAGACTCTGTAACCTAGCATGTATCACCTAGAGGACGCACAGATTAGAGACTGTAACCTAGCATGTATCACCTAGAGGACGCACAGATTAGAGACTCTGTAACCTAGCATGTATCACCTAGAGGACGCACAGATTAGAGACTGTAACCTAGCATGTATCACCTAGAGGACGCACAGATTAGAGACTCTGTAACCTAGCATGTATCACCTAGAGGACGCACAGATTAGAGACTGAAATCTAGCGTGTATCACCTAGATGATGCACAGATCAGAGACTGTAACCTATCATGTATCACCTAGAGGACGCACAGATTAGAGACTGTAACCTAGCGTGTATCACCTAGAGGACGCACAGATTAGAGACTGTAACCTAGCATGTATCACCTAGAGGACGCACAGATTAGAGACTGTAACCTAGCGTGTATCACCTAGAGGACGCAGATTAGAGACTGTAACCTAGCATGTATCACCTAGAGGACGCACAGATTAGAGACTGTAACCTAGCATGTATCACCTAGAGGACGAACAGATTAGAGACTCTGTAACCTAGCATGTATCACCTAGAGGACGCACAGATTAGAGACTGTAACTGCTAGCATGTATCACCTAGAGGACGCACAGATTTAGAGACTGTAACCTAGCATGTATCAGCTACTAGAGGACGCACAGATTAGAGACAGTAACCCTAGTAACCTAGAGCTACAGATTAGAGATCTGTACCCCAGCTATCATCTAGAGGACGCACAGACTAGAGACTGTAACCTAGCGTGTATCCACCTACAGTTCTCGCCCGAATGTATCACCTTCCGGACACACAGATTAGAGACTGTAACCTAGCATGTATCATTTCTAGAGGACTATAGTTCCCGCCCCGCTACAGTTCTCGCCCCAACTATAGTTCCCGCCCCAGCTACAGTTCTCGCCCCAACTATAGTTCCCGCCCGAGCTACAGTTCTCGCCCCAGCTATAGTTCCCGCCTGAGCTACAGTTCTTGCCCTAACTATAGTTCCCGCCTGAGCTAAAGTTCTCGCCCCAGCTATAGTTCCCGCCTCAGCTACAGTTCTCGCCCCAGCTACAGTTCCCACCCCAGCTACAGTTCTCGCCCCAGCTACAGTTCTCGCCCCAGCTACAGTTCTCGCCCCAACTATAGTTCTCGCCTAAGCTACAGTTCTTGCCCTAACTATAGTTCCCGCCTGAGCTAAAGTTCTCGCCTAAGCTACAGTTCCCACCCCAGCTACAGTTCTCGCCCCAGCTACAGTTCTCGCCTCAGCTACAGTTCTCGCCCCAGCTACAGTTCTCGCCCCAGCTACAGTTCTCGCCCCAGCTACAGTTCTCGCCCCAACTATAGTTCTCGCCTAAGCTATAGTTCTCGCCCCAGCTACAGTTCTCGCCCCAGCTACAGTTCTCGCCCCAGCTACAGTTCTCGCCCCAACTATAGTTCTCGCCCCAACTATAGTTCTCGCCTAAGCTATAGTTCTCGCCCCAGCTACAGTTCTCGCCCCAGCTACAGTTCTCGCCCCAGCTACAGTTCTCGCCCCAACTATAGTTCTCGCCCCAACTATAGTTCTCGCCTAAGCTATAGTTCTCGCCCCAGCTACAGTTCTCGCCCCAGCTACAGTTCTCGCCCCAGCTACAGTTCTCGCCCCAACTATAGTTCTCGCCTCAGCTACAGTTCTCGCCCCAGCTACAGTTCTCGCCCCAGCTACAGTTCTCGCCCCAGCTACAGTTCTCGCCCCAACTATAGTTCTCGCCTAAGCTATAGTTCTCGCCCCAGCTACAGTTCTCGCCCCAGCTACAGTTCTCGCCCCAGCTACAGTTCTCGCCCCAACTATAGTTCTCGCCCCAACTATAGTTCTCGCCTCAGCTACAGTTCTCGCCTCAGCTACAGTTCTCGCCCCAGCTACAGTTCTCGCCCCAGCTACAGTTCTCGCCTCAGCTACACCCCGGGGGATAGCTTTAATCCTGCCCCTGCAGGATCGCAAACTGTCTGAGGAATGAATGTGGCTGTAGACACAACATCATTAATATGAACACTATCATGTACACACGTCATCATTACCATGGACACTGTCATGTTAACTCGTAATCATTATTATATGCAACTTCATGTCGACACAGCATCGTCAGCATGGACACTGTCATGTAGACACGTCATCATTAACATGGACACTTTAATATAGATAACATGTCTATCGTCAACATGGACACTGTCATGTAGACACGTCATCATTAACATGGACACTGTGCATGTAGACACATCATCATAAATGTGGGCACTGTCACATAGACACATCATCAACAACATGGACACTGTCACATAGACACATCAACAACAACATGGACACTGTCACGTAGAAACGTCATCATTACCATGGACAATTTCATGAACACACGACATCATTAACATGGACACTGTCATGTAGAAACGTTATCATTAACATGGACACTGTCACGTAGACACGTTATCATTAACATAGACACTGACCGGTACACACGTCATCATTGACATGGACACTTTTATGTAGACACTTCATCATTAGCATGGACACTGGCTTGTAGACACATCATCATTAACATTGACACTGTCATGTAGACACGTTATCATTAACATGGACACTGTCATGTACACACGACATCATTAACATGCACACTTTCATGTAGACATGTTATCATTAACATGGACACTGGCATGTATTCACATCATCATTAACATGGACACTGTCATGTAGACACGTTATCAGTAACATGGACACTGTCATGTAGACACGTCATCATTAACATGCACACTTTCATGTAGACATGTTATCATTACAATGGATACTGACATGTACACACGTCCTCATTAACATGGACACTCTCGTGTAGGACACTCACATGTACACACGTCATCATTACCATGGACGCTGTCATGTAGACACGTCATCACTGACATGGACACTGTCATGTAGACACGTCATCACTGACATGGACACTGTCATGTAGACACGTCATCACTGACATGGACACTGTCATGTAGACACGTCATCACTGACATGGACACTGTCATGTAGACACGTCATCACTGACATGGACACTGTCATGTCGACACATCATCGTCAACATGGAAACTGTCATAAAGACATGTTATCGTCCAGATGGACACTGCCATGTAGACACATCATCATAAATGTGGGCACTGTCACATAGACACATCATCAACAACATGGACTCTGCCACATAGACACATCATCAACAACATGGAATTTGTCACATAGACATATCATCAACAGCATGGACTCTGTCACATAGACACATCAACAACAACATGGACACTGTCACATAGACACATCAACAACAACATGGACACTGTCACGTAGGAACGTCATTATTACCATGGACACTTTCATGAACACACGTCATTATTAACATGGACACTGTCATGTAGAAACGTTATCATTAACATGGACACTGTCGCGTAGGCACGTTATCATTAACATGGACACTTTAATGTAGACATGTCATCATTACCATGGACACTGACTGGTACACACATCATCATTGACATGTACACTTTAATGTAAACACTTCATCATTAGCATGGACACTTTCATGTAGACACATCATCATTAACATGGACACTGTAACGTGGACTCTTTCGTCTAGACACATCATCGTCAACATGGACACTTTCATGCAGACCCGTCATCATTAACATGGACACTGTCATGTTGACACTTTCGTCTAGACACATCATCGTCAACCTGGACACTGTCATAAAGACATGTTATCGTCCAGATGGACACTGCCATGTAGACATATCATCATAAATGTGGGCACTGTCACATAGACACATCATCAACAACATGGACTCTGTCACATAGACACATCATCAACAACATGGACCAGTCACATAGACACATCAACAACAACATGGACCAGTCACATAGACACATCAACAACAACATGGACACTGTCACATAGACACATCAACAACAACATGGACACTGTCACATAGACACATCAACAACAACATGGACTCTGTCACATAGACACATCAACAACAACATGGACACTGTCACGTAGACACATCAACAACAACATGGACCAGACACATAGACACATCAACAACAACATGGACTCTGTCACGTAGAAACGTCATCAACAGCATGGTTGGGAAGATATGTGTGTTTGTTTCACGTGTCAGAATCAAAGTTAAACTTTACCCTAAAAGGTTGGGGGAAAAGTTTGTGTTTGTTTCACGTGTCAGGATCAACGACTTACGCTGTCTTCATGCATTTGATTCATTTCTGTGGAAGCTCACGCTGTTCAGGGGTGCAAACAATGGTCTGCATTTATTTATCTGAACAAATTTGGCTGCTGCCTCTGAGAGACTGACATAAGAGCAATAAAACATACTGGCACTGACACAGTGGGACAGACAAAAACACCGACTACCACACAAACTGACAGACCTTACCTTTTCTGCAACCTTTGGGAGACAAACGAGACTTGATACTCTCTAGACTTCCAGTTTTCTTCTTTTTCTGGCCTAAAGAAGAGAGAATAGTCAGTTTATGAGGCTGTAGATAAGAGAATGATCAGTGTGTGAGGCTGTAGATACGAGAATGGTCAGTGTGTAAGGCTGTAGAGAAGAGAATTGTCAGTGTGAGGCTGTAGATAAGAGAATGATCAGTGTGTGAGGCTGTAGATAAGAGAATAGTCAGTGTGTGAGGCTGTAGATAAGAGAATAGTCAGTGTGTGAGGCTCTAGATAAGAGAATGATCAGTGTGTGAGGCTTTAGATAAGAGAATGGTCAGTATGGAGGCTGTAGATAAGAGAATGATCAGTGTGTGAGGCTGTAGATAAGAGAATGGTCAGTGTCTGAGGCTGTAGATAGGAGAATGGTCAGTGTCTGAGGCTGTAGATAAGAGAATGGTCTGTGTCTGAGGCTGTAGATAAGAGAATAGTCTGTGTGTGAGGCTGTAGATAAGAGAATGGTCAGTGTGTGAGGCTGTAGATAAGAGAATAGTCTGTGTGTGAGGCTGTAGATAAGAGAATGGTCTGTGTGTGAGGCTGTAGATAAGAGAATGGTCAGTGTGTGAGGCTTTAGATAAGAGAATAGTCTGTGTGTGAGGCTGTAGATAAGAGAATAGTCTGTGTGTGAGGCTGTAGATAAAAGCATGGTCTGTGTGTGAGGCTGTAGATAAGAGAATGGTCAGTGTGTGAGGCTGTAGATGGGAGAGAGATCAATGTGTGAGGCTGTAGATAGGAGAAAGATCAGTGTGTGAGGCTGTAGATAGGAAAGAAATCAATGTGTGAGGCTGTAGATAGAACGAACGAACGAACGAACAAGCAAACTTTATTTTCAAAGGGCTAAAAATTGGGCACGAAGGCCCGTCTGACATCAGGCCCTTCTAAGCCCTCATTTTTCAGAGTACCAGTGCCTGTTATCAATAATGCATGTTATAGATATAATAAAGAAATACGCATTATAAAATAATGCATACACACATCATGTGTACACAATCTTACACACTCACACAAACACACACACACACGTATATATATACTCTTACATTCTCATACATGCACATTCATATACATACATACAGGCATCTACATACATACACAAACAGATGAGACACACACATACACACATTGACATACATGCACACACACATTCATTCCATACATTTACACCTTCTCATGCATGCATGCATACACACACATACAGTCACATGTACAGACACCCACATACGCCCACAACAACAAATTTACACCCCCATGCTTACATATAAAACACACACAAGCATACATACACACATCTTTACAAACACCTACATCTTCACACACATACTTACATACTTGCATACATACCTAAATACACACACATACACCCACATACTTACACTCACATGCATACACATATACACACACATACATACACACATCTATTCACACACCTACATATTTACACACACATACATACTTGCATACATGCGTAAATACACACACATACACCCACATACTAACACTGCTACAATTGCAAACATACACCCACATACATGCCCACACATATTACATACATGCCCACACACATTACATACATACATACAGATACCCACCTACATACACATCTATACATTCACCTACATCTTTACACACATATATACATACTTGCATACATACCTAAATACAGAAATACCTAAAAAGAAGAAAGATCAGTGTGTGTGTGACGCTGTAGATAAGAGAATAGTCAGTGTATGAGGCTGGAGGTGAGAGTATGGTCAGGTTATGAGGGTGTGGGTGAGAAAATTGTCAGTCTATGAGGCTGTAGGTGAGAGAATGGTCAGTGTATGAGGCTGTAGGTGAGAGAATGGTCAGTGTATGAGGCTGTAGGTGAGAGAATGGTCAGTGTATGAGGCTGTAGGTGAGAGAATCATCAGTGTATGAGGCTGTAGGTGAGAGAATGGTCAGTGTATGAGGCTGTAGGTGAGAGAATGGTCAGTGTATGAGGCTGTAGATGAGAGAATGGTCAGTGTATGAGGCTGTAGATGAGAGAATGGTCAGTGTATGAGGCTGTAGGTGAGAGTATGATCAGTGTATGAGGCTGTAGGTGAGAGAATGGTCAGTGTATGAGGCTGTAGGTGAGAGAATGGTCAGTGTATGAGGCTGTAGGTAAGAGAATGGTCAGTGTATGAGGCTGTAGGTGAGAGAATGGTCAGTGTATGAGGCTGTAGATGAGAGAATGGTCAGTGTATGAGGCTGTAGGTGAGAGTATGGTCAGGTTATAAGGGTGTGGGTGAGAAAATTGTCAGTGTATGAGGTTGTAGGTGAGAGAATGGTCAGGTTATGAGGGTGTGGGTGAGAAAATTGTCAGTGTATGAGGTTGTAGGTGAGAGTATGGTCAGGTTATGAGAGTGTGGGTGAGAAAATTGTCAGTGTATGAGGCCGTAGGTGAGAGAATGGTCAGGTTATGAGGGTGTGGGTGAGAAAATTGTCAGTGTATGAGGCTGTAGGTGAGAGTATGGTCAGGTTATGAGGGTGTGGGTGAGAAAATTGTCAAGGAATGAGGCTGTAGGTGAGAGAATGGTAAGCGTATGAGGATGTTGATACGAGAATGGTCATTGTATGAGACCGTAGTTAAGAGAATGGTGAGTGTGTGAGGCTTTAGGTGAAAGAATGGTCAACGTGTGAGGCTGTAGATACGAGAATTATGAGTGTGTGAAGCTGTAGGTAAGAAAATGATCAGCGTGTGAGGCTGTAGGTAAGAGAACGCTCAGTGCGTGAGGCTGTAGGTGAGATAATGGTCAGTGTGTGAGAGTGTAGGTGAGAGAATGGTCAGTGAATAAAGCTGTAGGTGAGATAATGGTCTGTGTATGAGGTATGAGGCTGTAGGTGAGAGTATGGTCAATGTATGAGTGTGTAGGTAAGATAATGTTCAGTGTATGAGGCTGTAGGTGAGCTTATGGTAAGTGTATGAGTGTGTAGGTGAGATAATGTTCAGTGTATGAGTGTGTAGGTAAGATAATGTTCAGTGTATGAGTGTGTAGGTAAGATAATGGTCAATGTATGAGTGTGTAGGTGAGCTAATGGTAAGTGTATGAGGGTGTAGGTGAGATAATGTTCAGTGTACGAGAGTGTAGGTGAGATAATGTTCAGTGTACGAGAGTGTAGGTGAGATAATGTTCAGTGTACGAGAGTGTAGGTGAGATAATGGTCAGTGTATGAGAGTGTAGGTGAGCTAATGTTCAGTGTACGAGAGTGTAGGTGAGCTAATGGTAAGTGTATGAGAGTGTAGGTGAGATAATGGTCAGTGTATGAGGGTGTAGGTGAGCTAATGGTAAGTGTATGAGGTTGTAGGTGAGCTAATGTTAAGTGTATGAGGGTGTAGGTGAGCTAATGGTAAGTGTATGAGGGTGTAGGTGAGCTAATGGTAAGTGTATGAGGGTGTAGGTGAGCTAATGGTAAGTGTATGAGGGTGTAGGTGAGCTAATGGTAAGTGTATGAGGGTGTAGGTGAGCTAATGGTCAGTGTATGAGGGTGTAGGTGAGATAGGGTGTAGGTGAGTGTATGAGGGTGTAGGTGAGATAATGGTAAGTGTATGAGGGTGTAGGTGAGAGAATGGTAAGGGTATGAGAGTGTAGGTTAGATAATGTTCAGTGTATGAGGGTGTAGGTGAGCTAATGGTAAGTGTATGAGAGTGTAGGTGAGCTAATGGTAAGTGTATGAGAGTGTAGGTGTCATGTATGAGGGTGTAGGTAGCTAATGGTGTATGAGGTGTGTATGGTGTGTATGAGAGTGTGTAGGTGAGATAATGGTCAGTGTATGAGGGTGTAGGTGAGCTAATGGTCAGTGTATGAGGGTGTAGGTGAGATAATGGTAAGTGTATGAGGGTGTAGGTGAGCTAATGGTAAGTGTATGAGGGTGTAGGTGAGCTAATGGTAAGTGTATGAGGGTGTAGGTGAGATAATGGTCAGTGTATGAGGGTGTAGGTGAGTAGGTGATAATGGTCAGTGTATGAGGGTGTAGGTGAGATAATGGTAAGTGTATGAGGGAGCTAATGTAGTGTGAGGTGTGATAATGTCAGTAATGTATGAGGGTGTAGGTGAGCTAATATGATGAGTGTAGGTGAGATAATGGTCAGTGTATGAGGGTGTAGGTGAGCTAATGGTAAGTGTATGAGGGTGTAGGTGAGCTAATGGTAAGTGTATGAGGGTGTAGGTGAGCTAATGGTCAGTGTATGAGGGTGTAGGTGAGATAATGTTCAGTGTATGAGAGTGTAGGTGAGATAATGGTCAGTGTATGAGGGTGTAGGTGAGCTAATGGTCAGTGTATGAGGGTGTAGGTGAGCTAATGGTAAGTGTATGAGGGTGTAGGTGAGATAATGTTCAGTGTATGAGGGTGTAGGTGAGCTAATGGTCAGTGTATGAGGTGTAGGTAAGAGCTAATGGTCAGTGTATGAGGGTGTAGGTGAGAGAATGATCAGTGTATGATGGTGAAAGTGAGTATGATCAGTGTATGAGGCTGTAGGTGGTTTTTTATTATACATGTCCAGGTAATCTGACTTTTATTGTACATGTCCAGGTAATGTGACTTTTATTGTACATGTCCAGGTAATCTGACTTTTATTATACATGTCCAGGTAATCCGGCTTTTATTATACATTTCCAAGTAATCTGACTTTTATTATACATGTCCTAGTAATTTGACTTTTATTATACATGTCCAGGTAATCTGACTTTTATTATACATGTCCAGGTAATCTGACTTTTATTGTTCATGTCCAAGTTATCTGACTTTTATTATACATGTCCAAGTTATCTGACTTTTATTATATATGTCCAAGTTATCTGACTTTTATTATACATGTCCAAGTTATCTGACTTTTATTATACATGTCCAAGTAATCTGACTTTTATTATACATGTCCAAGTATTCTGACTTTTATTATACATGTCCAAGTTATCTGACTTTTATTATACATGTCCAAGTTATGAATATCCCATGTAATCTGACTGCCCCGTGTAATCTGACTGTCCCATGTAA